GAGTCTCAGAGCGGCTTACAAACTCCTTTCCCTTCCCCTCCCCACAACAGACACCCTGTGAGGTGGGTGGGGCTGAGAGAACTCTGACACAAACTGCTCTTTTTCAAGAACAGCTGTGCCAGAGCTTGTGACTGACCCAAGGTCACATCAGCAGGTGCAAGTGGAGGAGTGGGGAATCAAACCCAGTTCTCCTGGATTAGAGTCCGCACACTTAACCACTACACCAAACTGGCTCTGGTCCATGGGGTCGTGAAGTGTCGAACTCGACGGTGCGACTGAACCCTTCCTAATAATCCCCAGCATAGTGTTGGCCTTTTTTATTGCAGTCGCACATTGTCTTGACATTTTCATTGAGTTATCTACTACGACTCCAAGATCTCTCTCTTGGTCAGTCTCTGCCAGTTCAGATCCCATCAACGTGTATTTATAGTTAGGATTTTTTGCTCCAATGTGCATCACTTTGTACTTGGCCACACTGAACCCCATTTGCCATGTTGATGCCCACTCGTCAATCCTCGACAGATCCCTTTGGAGTGCCTCACAATCCTCCCTGATTTTCACCACCCTGACCAACTTCGTATCATTCGCAAATTTAGCCACTTCACTGCTTACTCCCAACTCCAAATCATTAATAAACAAGTTAAAAAGCATCGGACCAAGTACTGATCCCTGCACAGGCTTTTAGATACTCAATTTCAGTGCCTGACCGAGGCAGCCAGGAAAACTTGTTCTCCAATTCATCTGGGATTACCCTAGACACTGAGCCAGACAGCTAGTTATTTCTGCTCTTTAACTGACCCCCATCAAAGAAGGGCATTTATGTTAGCCAGATTTAACGCATTGCCATCAGCCATCTTCCCTGGAAGATGCCATAAAATCCCTAATGAACTCAAATGCCCCTTGTAGTCAGGGTGCCATCGAATCTGTTTCCCACATTCTTTTAAATTGTCCATTTTATACTAAGACCCAGGATACATTTCTGAACACCCTTCTTTTTACACTCCCTGGGAGTGTCAAGGTCCAGTTGCTACTCTCAGGGCAAAACTCTTCTATAACTTTCAATGTCACCTGTTTTCTTCAATCTGCAATTTGAATCCGGGAAACTATGAACTGATCAGTTTTTGTTTGTTTGTTGGCTGCACAACAGCCACACTTTTGATGTATTCCTAAATTTTAATGTATTTTTATCTCTGATATGCCAATAAAGGTTGTTTGTCTGTTACACCTCTCTGGATCTCTCCTACAAAGAAGAACGATCAATTCAGCAATACTACCAAGCTGGCACTGGGTAAATTGTTTAAAAAGAAATGGCTGTGCTTGTTCAAATTCTGCATGTTTTTAAATTTGTAATTTGCATATTTTTAATCTGTGTCGATAATTGGACTGGTGTGTTTTGCATCCTTCTGCGCTGGTTGCTCCATTGTTAGGTGCCAGCTGCTATATGTAAGCTGAAGAAATGTTTTAAATCCATAAAGCAGGGTGTTTTGTCATTTCAGAGCTCACACAGCAGCTATCAGAAAGCAAGCAACATAGCTATATTGTGCTACTCCTGTTTTTTTTCCTGGTACTTCAAAGCAATTCCCTGCTAGGCTACATATACCATTATGGTAGAATTACCACAACCTTCTACAGCAGAATGGCCTTGGGCAACAAAGAGTAAGAAGGGCAGTGACATTCAGATGACCTGATTAGCTCAAGAATCAGGGAGTGAGCGTTCAGTTCATGAACAAGACTGTGTATGTATTTCTACAGTCTATCACTCCCAACACGTAAAAACCAAACAAAAAACCAAGTATGCACAACATGTGATTTCCCCAAACCCTTATGTAAACATTTATTTTTCAAAATGATAACTGAGATGCAGCAGTTCACAACCAGGGATAAAAAACCAAAGAACTCTGAGTGGAAGGAAAGCGGCTGTTAGCATTGCCCTTTACAGTTCTATGTTCCTGAGTCTCTGCAGTACTGGTATAGACAAATCTTGAGTATTTGCAAGCAGAAGGCATGTCTTTAGATTTAGTTTCATTTTCTTATGCAACATTCAAGCGAAAGATCTAGCTATTAGTTTTCTTTCCCCAAGGATCTACCCATTACAGTGTCATCCTGTCTTTCCTCCAAGGAACTGAAGGGAGAAAGGGAGAGCATGGGGTTATCATCCAATTTACCATCACAACTCTGTGAGGCTGAGTATGTGCAATCGGCCCAAGGCTATACTGTGACTGAGTGGAGAATTTGAACTCAGTTCTCCTCAGTCATTTCCTGCAGGGGTCATTTCCTGCGGGAGCGCACAGGAGCGGAGCTCCAGCAGTATGGAGCCCAGGGGGTGGGCACATGCAACAAGCCCTGCCCCCTACTCCCAGCAGCCCTCAATCGGGCCATGAGGAGCAAGAAGCGGCCAGGTAAGTTGCAGAGCCCTCCCCAGGCCCGCCTTCAGGTACAAGCTCGCCCTCCTCTGTGAGCTAGCAATCCAAAACAGTCCAGTGGAGCCTGAGTGGTGGGTGTTGCCTTTTGACACGCTTCCGGTGATGTCAGGGGGTGTGGCACATGCAAATAAGTTATGCTAATACATTATGCTAATGAGCTCCTGCACCTCTTTTTCTATGAAATGACCCCTGAACAAAAGAACTGCACATACAAGGAAGACTCTCCAAATTTTGCATTACCTGGTTGCAAAGAGACTGTCCCAAGCCCTCTCTTGCTGCAGAACTAATGTATATCATTGGCTGTTTGCTATAGAGCATGTTGAAACCATCAGTCATGTAGTCTTCATAGCGTGAGTGAATCACGAGCCGGCAGACTTTCGAAAGACCCTCACGATCATCTTCATGGAAATATGCTGACCCATTTTCAAACCTATTCAGAAAAATTGTTACTTAAATGCAAGCTCACAGTAAAAAGGGGGCTGGTTCATTAAAGTCACATCCCACTCAGAAAAATCATTTCCATCTAAAGACTCATACTTAAAAATACGGCTATAAAAACGAATATTCTGTTGAGGATGCCACTCTTCTTCCAGTTTGCATAGAGAAAACAGAATCACAGGAAAATTAAGCCGTTTGTTCAGCACCAGTTCTTAGATTTTTTCCACCCAGCTCATTACTATAAATGCCACCTATAGCTCAAGCATCTTCCAATTTTCAGAATGTGTATTTGTACATCATTAAACTAAATACAATATTCTTCCCCAGATTGAAGCAATCAAAGGCTAAATTTCATCTCCCAGTCCCTGGAGTCGATCCATTCAAGTCTATCCACCATTCCTTGAGGGAAAAGGACCTCCTTCAGCAGCAAATGATATGCGCCCAAGCAAGAGAAATGCTAAATTCTCTCTCCAGAAGGAGGCTGGAATGACACATTACCTGGGCAAATGTGTGTTTTGAAATAATTGTTGATGAAAATAATTTGGGTGTTACTAGAGGAGACCTGGGGTGCAGAAGTGCAGGATACTTTAGCCCTTACCCAGAGGGGCCTACTCCTGGTTTAGAGGCTGAAACAGGAAGAATTAAAAAAAAAAATGGAACGATTTGCAGAAGAAACACAGTGGCCATGAAGAAGGTAAAGCACCCCCCTTCTGCTCACTGGTTCTCCCTTTCAAATGCCCTCTTCTGTAGTGTGAGGGAAATGTAGAGCTGGGAATCCAACGCTTCCCTACTAACGTGTAGCTCTGCTCTGAAAAGAGTCCAGGAATCAGATTATGCAAGATCACACGTCTCTGTCTCCTTCCCCAGCAGCCTTCTGGTCACACACAGCAGGACAAGGAAAAGAAGGCTGTGAGCAACTCTTCAGCAGTATCGGTTTGGAAAAGAATGCTATCAAAAGAATAGCATTCTTACCAACTCGCCGTGAGTGCAAAAATGG